TAAAACGGCATGCAAGTGCCACCTAATGCACAGCATTGTTTTACTAACACCAGTGATGTTGCTCAGAGAGTATTAATACAAATATCTGCATCACGAAATGTTTAATGCACCAAAGAAGATCTTAAACACTTTCCATCAAAGTTTCCGACTGCATATGAAAAGGAAGAGGGCGAAAATAAAATTTGTCTTTTACCAAAATGCTCCGAAAGTTTTCACCCCTCTACCTCACCTCCATAGACCGCAAGCCACTTCTTCTAAAATTATATGCATCAAGTGATAGCTATGCATAGACAGAGTGCAAAATGCTGGATGTTTCAAGCCATGAGAGGCGTAACCCCAGGGCAAGACACATCACTCCAATCAGCATTCGACTGCGTCACAATTGTTACGATGTCAAATTTCTCATTGCAGAACCAGAGCCAACCTTCCAAATAGCGCCTGCCGATCTGAAATGGATACATCCTGCAACTTCACCACATAAGCGTTATGTGGTAGCTGTGAAATGGGTCACATTTCTGTCTCACCACCATCCTCGCTCCAGCCCACAGTCACGGCCGCCCGACTACATGCAGTGCTCCGTGAAAGTCACCCGAAAGCAAGGATGGCGAAGTACGTAAAATCAACTTTTTGCGCCTCAGGCGGCCTTCCCATTGCCGCTGAAGGACACCTTTTCGCCGATCACGAGGGCTCAGGTTACTACGATTTTTTACGAGTTATACCGTGGTCAGTTGATGCTGAGCGGCACGTTTGTGAGTTACACCCCATTATAAGCTTTTCACAAAATGCACTTCACATCTCCGTGAGATAAGAAATAATGCACCTGCAGCAACAAACATAATTGGAATCGACGAAGTATGCTGCAAGTTTTTTAAAATTCAAAATCGGTTGCGCAGACTGATGTGCCCGAAATCGGGCCAGAATAAGTTCTGGGACAGGCTAAGCCAACGATATCGGTCAGCGCGCCCAACCAATTTTGGAAAACTACCCCGCTGGTGGGAGCTGTCCAAAAAGCGACGGCCACATTACATTACATTGTCATTACGTTAACACTACATTATTCCGACCGAAACCATGGATGAGCTGCGACTGCCACTTGCCGCCAACCAATCAGATGTCATGAGCACTTCACAGCCAATTTTGTCGTATTGCTGAATGATATTTGTTCGCCAGCCTCTTACAATGTGAAGATTTAAAGAAAATTGCGCATGTCGTGCTGCAAGGGTAATGCGCAGCGGCATTTCAACGATATTGTACTGGTTAAACTGCACTTACGGGAAACCAGAATTACAGGGTTTGAATTTTCACGGCGCCCGCCCTTCGCGTCAGGGTGAGAGGCTGATATTGAGTGCGTTGTAAATCTCCAGTGATGTTGGATGATAAGTGAGACCGTTCTTGCCGGTTTTAATCATTTCGTGTTGTCGCAATTGGCGCCATTTGATGAGGTTTGAGGGAGTGCATGACAATTGACGCCTTTTATGCAAGTTGGCTGGTGGTTTTGGGTAGAATTACATAGCTGATTGGTGGTGGTTGGCGATGTGTTAACCCTCTCTTCGACAAAAGGGGGGGGGGGGTCGATCCCGCACCGTAGGTTTTTTAGGATGCTATCCGTTATATTGTTCAATCGCGCCCAAATTTTCAGTGGGCTATGGCGCATCCTTTGCGCATGTTATGACACCAAACGCATGCTCCTACCTTACGTGCTACAGGAGCAACGGCGGTTTATAAGGAAGACTGCACGGCGATCTATGGTCGGCGCGGGCGGCGGGCGGCAACAGACGACGCCGCGCAACGCGCGCGGCGGGTCGACGTTGTTACACTTACGGAACAATGTATGATAAGTAGATTCTCAAAAACACACAACTATACAACGAGGTACTGACAATTGAATAAGGGCCACAGCTGTGTAGGTTATGTATCGCTATAGGTCATGGCCTTTTTATACTTTTTTAAAATGCATGACATAAAGCGAAAAAAGTGCGATTTTCCGGAAAATTTGACCTTTTACCTGGCATAATGAGACCAATTATTGACCTTGCAGCATCAAAACTAGCATCAATCGCAAGATCTCGTGGAGGTCAATCCACCATAGCTTTGTCTTTGTTAGTTTAGGAACGCTGCAAGGTGGGGGTTTCACATCGACCCCACTATCAGCCCGCGTTGTGAAAAACAGCAAATCGTGGCAAGGATTAAATGGGTCAGTACAGATATGAGGCACTGGGAATGGATTGTTGGAGCCATTTAATAACGTCAACGTTGTCAACTGAAAGCGTGGTGATTGTGCATGAGTTAGAGGACGCCCAGCAGCGATAAGTGTCAGCTAAAAGATCTTCTCAAACTCGTCAACAGTTCCTTAATCCCGAACGAAGGTTTATGTGCCCCCCCCCGTCCCCCAAGAGGAATTTCTTAACAGAGGCGCAGCTAAGGGAGGAGGGGTGGTGGCCACCATCGTCTTATTTTTCTCTTACACTGATTACCACGGATAGCTCCTGACGAAAGGAAAAATTCGAAGTTCCGGAAAGTCGGAACAGCGCGTTGAATTTTCGCTAAGCTCCGTCCAGCCCCTGAAAAACCTGGCTGCGCCTCGATCACTGAGGCACCGAAAAAAAGCACAAAACCCTTTAAGCCTGGAAAGCTGATGAAGCATTCGCCGCTTTTCCAAAAGGCTGGTCCTGCAGGTAGTGTCACGTCACCGGAGTATGACGTCATCTGTAAGCGATTGAAATGAAGGCTTGATCACACAGGACTTTCGCTGAACTCATTCCGACCTCCCTGTAACAGCTGACATTGAGTAACTGACGGCGACGGCCCCCCACCATCACCAAAAATTGGTGATGGCTGGTGCCGACCAGTGACAGCGGGTGGCGAAGCAAAATAAACAACGGGATACTCAACATTCTAACCAGCTTGTGAAGGCTGGTGACGGCCCCAGCAGATGACGGGTTTGTCACAGCAGATGGCGACAGGTGACAGCCGGTCACAGCAAGTGACGGTTGTTAAAAGCTGGTGACGGCGGGTGACGGTAGGTAACGGCTGGTACCGTTAGCTGACGGCTGGTGACGGCTGGAGACGATTGTATACGGCGGGTGACGGCTGGTGACAGCTGGTAACGACAGGTGATTGTTAGTGACGGCTCGTGACGGCAGATGAAGGCTGGTGATAGTTTTAGAAGCTGACGGCTCATGACGGTTGATGGCGGCAGGTGACGGCAGGTAACTGCTGTCGACAGCTGATGACATCTGCCGCAGGTAATTGCTGGTGACTGCTCGTGACGGCTGGTGACGGCTTGTGACTGCTGGTGACGGTTGGTGACGGCTGGTGATGACTGGTGACGGCTGGCTGCCCCGCGGCGGCGGTAATGTCATCACCTGATGCTCTATCTGAGGACCGGCCAGCGATAGGCGGCCCTATATAGGCGGGCTGTCAGCTGGCGGCCCATACTCCGGGCCGCTGCTCACCCCGGACACAGCTCCCTCTCCTCAGGTAGGGTGGCGTCAAAAGTAGGGCAAAGGTACTCTTAGCACGCGCTCGCGTGGAAGGGGTCAAATTGACCCTCAGAGTTTTCCAAAATGGTTTCCGAACGACGCTGTATAACTGCACCAAAGTTTGCATAGCTATAGACATTTGAATAGCGGATCGTTTGGCATCCTACATTTAGATGTACCTTCTAAGGTCGCTGGCCTATGGCAGGTCAAAGTCAGGCTATGGTTTCAGTAGAAGATAATTTCTAGGGAATCCTTTAATCTGATCCAACGACGGAGTGTTAGACGAAGCCGTACATCTCTGAGATGCTTTCTTAGGCAATACAACCGTTGAATGAGCAAAGGTCAGATATGAAGGTCAGACCAAGGTCAAACCAACCTGCTTTGATTCTCTAGGGCTTGTGGTATGGAATAGTTTCTGGTGCTCATTTCGAATTTATTGATAGCAGGAACCGCATTCCACATTTTTCATGGACTTCTTAGAGGTCAGAATAGGCCATTGACCTGAGATGAACCAGACCAACATTTTTGTTCAGGAACATACCGCCTAGCGTAATCTTTGTCGCTTATTTTAATGCAAAACCCCAAGCAATCTTGCATGATTTTGGTCACCATGGCATTCAAAAGGTCAAACAAGGTCACTGATCTTAAATGAGCATGTGAACTTTTGTTTAGAAACGATCATGTAGGTTCTGGGGGCACTTTGGAGACCAACCTGGGATTGAATACCAGACCTTGTTTGACATTTTTTGACACAAAGGTTATGACCTAGGCAACTGACACCTTGACCTAAGTGAGTTCACGTACAGATCAAAACACCTTGTAAATTTGATGTCTATAACTTTCTTGGTTCCCGAGATGTCAGGCGGGGAGGGGGAGGGGGGGGGGGTCAAAAATCGACCCCCACCAGAGCGAAGGGTATCCAGGCGGCCACCCGGGCGCGTGTTAAGACGAAAAGGTTGCCCCTTGTCTAACGTCATCTTAGTGCATCATGACGCTGCTGCTGCCATTTCCATAATCATGAGCTTGATTTTAATTTTGCGCTCGATAAAATCAAGGCTCATTTTTTGTGCTGGTCTGCTGTCCACCTGTATCATATTTGAACAATGTTTTGGGCTTCCATTTCAACACTTAAACACCATAAGCTGCAGGCCAAGACCTGGTATGCCACCATAGCATCCCTCCTCCACCCCTCGCCACGAAGTCGTTTAAATCAGTGACGTCCCAATTGTTCCGCGGTCACCTGCGCTGACTACCGTTTCAGCCTGTGCATTACGCTTTCGCCCCCTTTCCACGCGCCTCACTAAATTGCTGCATCCGTGTGCTGCGGCTCATGACGTCACAGATATGTCCCGATGCCGCGGTCCAGTGACGTCGTTGTTTCTGCAGGTGACGATGCGAGGTCCCAGTACGTACGTTGTTTCCTGCAGGATGATGTCCCGATGCCGCGGTCCCGTGACGTCACGTCCCATCAGTCCCCCTCAGGATGATGTGCGATGCCTGGGGTCCAGTGGTGGGTTCATGCAGAGGTTCCCGCAGGCAGGTGGATGTCCCCAGCTGCCGCGCTGTTTGTGTCTGCTGCTGGCGGCGGTGGCCGGCCCTACTCTGGCCGACACCCCGGCCAACTGCAGCTACGCCGACATCCAGGGCAGCTGGATCTTCCATTCGTCCGACGCCGACGGCGACAACAGCATCGACTGCACCGACTCCAGTGAGCACGGCCAAGACGTCCCTAATTCGAGTCGTGACGGATTTTGGCCGGCAGTGAGAGGATGTAGGGGAGGGGAAATTTCCTCCGGCCAGGTGCTTCTTCACATCCCCCCCCCCCTTCCCCACACGACTGGTTTGCACATAGTTATCTTGTCTGATGACGTGCAAACACCCTGATACCAATGTTTGTCTAGAAGAGCTCTCCGTAAGGCCTGGGAACGCGATAGTTTAAAATAATGACGGCCTTGTTACCTATACGCAACCTGCATACAATAAGTACAGCTGAAACAGGTACCTCCTAGGTACCCACCTGCCTCAAAAGTATTCAGCACAGCCTCGACATATAAAATATACAGTCCTGACGTCATCTTAATGTAACGATGACTTTACCGTGCTCAGACACTGCTCAGAGACGACTTTCTGCTTTTGCTCACTGCGTGAACGGTGCGACTGGTTTCAACTGGACTGGAATGGGAAGTGTTTCCACTTTTATTTCAGCGCAGCACTGTCACCCGATTCATTTCTCAATAGCGCACGACGTCTTCTCACTTGGATCCGAACTTCCAGTGCGATATCTTCCTTCCGCCATTGAATCTTTCGGCATTACTGACGCGTTAATTACCGATTTCATTTTCGCGATTTCGCGACTAATTTCAGTTCATCTTTCAGCACTGCGTTGATTGTTTTGGTGTAGCACGCGTTTACGCCGTTCGCTTCGCTCGTGCTCAGCGTTTCCCGACATGTTCCTCAGCGCCGATGGAGAACGTGGTGGTGCTGTCCCTGCAGGAGCCCAACATAGCAGTCGACCAGTTCGGCAACATCGGAAAGTGGACCCTCATCTACAACCAAGGCTTTGAGGCCACTGTCAACGGACGCACCTACTTTGCATTCTCTTACTACGAGCAGGTGAGGAACTTGGAATCCTGACGTCAGGAAACTTTAACTGGACCCAGGGACCCTCAGTGGCTGCAGCGGTGTTAGCCTTCCCAGTCACGTGAGATGTATGTATCACATCACCATCGATCATATTTTAGATCCGCAAACCAATACTTCGGCAGGCTGGTCCCTATGCAGCTTCTTCAAGCATATTGCATTCATTTATCGCACGCGCGCTTCCTTGATGTCAGCATTTAAAAAATGAATGGTTAAGAAAGCTTGCCCCGGGAACCACCCAGCAAAAAACAAGACAGCCTCAGATGTTTATTGTTCGTCATATCCAAGCTTGTTCCATACTTGCAGCAAGACCGGGCATCGTTTTATAGACGTCAATAATAGTATCATACATAACAATAGATATTAAAATAACAACAAGAACAAATCGGTTCTGTGTATTTTCCGCGGAGATGGGCTCTGCTTTGTTCATGTCTCTCACGTTACCCCATCTAGATAAAGGCGCGCACAACGTTTCCAGTCAAAATGCCCTCGCAGTCCCCCCCCCCCTCCCCATCACAGCTACAGTGGTCTGGCCCTTCCTTTACAACTACAGTAGCCTGCAGGGGCAAATAGTGTCTTTTCTGTGACCGACGAAATTTGGAATCGTCAAACTTGGCACATGGAGCCAAATCTTTCAGACACCGTTGCAATATGACTAAATGCAATAATCAACAAACCGAAGACAAATTTAATGCCATGCGGCATAGCCATCAAATATTTTTGTTCCGCGAGTTCATTTGCACTTAATTATCATTCACCGGCCAGCAAACACTGGGTGATGGTTGGGACCAAACTAGTGAAGTTATCAGATAAATGCATGCTGAACATAACCAGCCTAAAAACATGTCAATTCCTGTTCAGTTAAGGGAGAGGATTGCGCCTCCTAACCATTGATGTAGTTTCCTATTTCTATTTATATTTTTCTCGGCATTATTTGCCATTTATCATATTTTTAGGGTTCAGCCTCCCAAAACTAATTTCGAGAAAGTACACCCCTGCTCCCAACTGTGGAAAAAATGTGTCAAATCTGGGAAGAAAACTGAAACTGTTTTAAGTGCGCTTCGGAGATAGACTCAAGCATCTTTTCCCCCCCCCCCCCCCCCACCACCTTCAACCCACAACCATACTATTTTGCAAAGCTATCCCTGAAGCCCCACATCTAACGATAGCATGGTTTTACAAACACCTGACAAAAACGGCACTTTTGGTTTTGTGACGTCATGGTACGATCAGCTGGAAGCGTAGGTGACCTTAACTATCTTCAGATAATTATTACTGGTGCAGAGCTCACACTTTTTAACATGATCCCAATCATTAAGAGTGAATCCCATGCAATATTGCTATCAACAGATGCAAACAAATTTTTGAACACATCTAGCGCCTTCATTTAGCTCTATATGCAGCATGCTGAAAATGAAAAGCGCTTTTTTCGAGACGCGGGTGGTCGCTGCTCCAGACTAGAGGAAGCAATGTCAGCCGGATGGGGTGCGTATGAGGCTCGCTTCTCAGCCTCTGCCAATGCGTGACGATCTGTCAAGCCCTCAGCAGATCTGTTGGCAGAGATCATCTCATATCTACGTAGATCACTTATTCCCACCCTGCGCCAAGATAGCCTGTATCTTAGCGCAGCGCTACAGAAAGCGCTGATATTCTATTGGGGATTAGCAGACTTCGTCGGGTGATGTTCGGCATTCGAAGCGGATTGCCGTCTCGCGGTAACTGTCTAATTATGGTGAAGTGCTTGTTGTTGCGTGGATTTGTGAGCTCAAAGATATCTGAGATGACAGAGCGTTCAACAGCGTCGCAAGCGGCGAACTGCAAACCCAAGAGTGAGGGGGATGCCGTGGCTTGGGCCCGCCGTTCAACCAGTGCTAGTGAATCTAATTTTTGCCGACCGACCCGAAATTTTTAATCGTCAACATTTGCTCACAAACATATTAATTAATGCCAGGTCTTTGGTAAGGTGTGGGGGGAGGGGGGCGGGGCACATGCTCCCCGCGTGTCACTATGCGCGTACATCCCTGGCCTGAATTGTGAACTTCTCGGTAGGTAGAGTCAGGCAGTTTGCTTGAAGGGATCGCAAAAAGCCACAATCAAGTCGTACATACCCATATGATGTACACAAAATTATATCGCTGATTACATTTCGTTTGAACATCAACATGTGCTCTTCATCCATGACCGTGAATGCATGTCATATTCATATATCTCCTTATATATGTATATATATATATATATATATATATATATATATATATATATATATATATATCCTTTTGGGCCGAATCCCAGGCTTGCAAAATCAATGAGTCCGGAAATGAATCTAACTGCTGGTCCTGACATCCTGAATCTGCTCCGGGTCCAAAGTGACATATTTCCTCCCAATCGTCGAGTGCAAACTCGAGTCCTCTCCATCATCAGAGGACACCAGCCCGGCCAGCCAGCGGGCCGGCTCACTCCTCCTCCGCCGGCAGGACGGTGACGAAGTGACCAGCTTCTGCGACCGCACGTTCCCCGGCTGGTCGCACGACACCACCGTGCGCAACTGGGCCTGCATTCAGGGTCAGAAGCAGGGCGCCAGCGTGCCCAAGGTGCACCGCGTCACCCGCCTCGACGCCGAACAGGTGGGCACAAGGCTGGTGCACGCGCGCTGACGCCACGCGGAGCGGGCTTGTGGTCTCGATGTGGAGCTGGAGGGCGTGTGGCCTGCGGTTGGCGACGCAGTGTGATGATCAGCCCTGTGGCGTTCGGGAAATATTGAGTTTTAGATTATTTCTTTATCACACGAAGGAACGCGGCGCGCGTCGTCACTTCCCTTTCATGGAGCACACGCCACTGCATTGGCCACACCAGCGGTCAGGGGTCATGGCGCCACCGAGATTCGGGTCCGAAAGCCTCTCCGTGGGAGTCAGACGCTCGAACTACTCGGCCATTACGCCCCTTACACTCGAACTACTCGGCCATTACGCCCCTTACGCTCGAACTACTCGGCCATTACGCCCCTTACACTCGAACTACTCGGCTGCTACGCCCCTTACACTCTAACTACTCGGCCATTACGCCCCTCACACTCGAGCTACTTGGCCATTACGCCCCTTGCACTCGAACTACGCGGCCATTACGCCCCTCACGCTCGAACTACTCGGCCATTAGGCCCCATTTAGCTTGACAAATTGGGTGATTGAAAAGCTTTGGATTCACGTGGACGCAGGCTGCTGATCCCGGCCATTAGGGAATAATAGATGATGGTGAGACCGGCATTCCGAAATAGCAACGAGCCGCACAACTCATCCACACGTTTTAGATGAGGGCGATTGGTGAGTGTTGTTCTGGGCAAGGCGTCTAGGGTTCGACTCCCACCAAGGGCAGTTTTCGGCAGCCCGTTTTCGCCAGGGCGTGTTGCGTACCTCGCCATCGCCTTTCCACGTGTCAGTGCGTAACGCAATGTCCGATCAGGGCGCCAAGAAATACGTCAACAACCACAAGCTAATCGAGGCCATCAACGCCAAGAAGGGCGGCACGTGGACTGCACGCGCGTACCCGCAGCACGAGGAACTCACCGTGGCCGAGTGGCACCGACGCAGTGGCGGTCACAGGTGGGCAGCGATGACGGCGGCTACGGGGTGGA